TCAAGCAAAACTGGACATGAGGCCATGACTTCACAGTAGAGGCGTAGACTTTTGGTTAAACATGTATGGCCATTTTGTTGAGGTGAAAGTTTCCTCGGTGATACTTCCATCGCGATCACGGTAGGCCTCCGTAGCTAATATAGTACTTTATTTGAGGGGGTGTTTGGTTCCACGGACTAAATTTTAGTCCCTGTCACATCAGACGTTTGACACTAATTTGGAGTATTAAATATAGACTAATTACAAAACTAACGGCACAGATTAAGACTAATTTGCGAGATGAATCTATTAAGCCTAATTAGTCCATGATTTGACAACGTGGTGCTACATTAAATATGTGTTAATGATGGATTAATTAGGCTTAATAGATTCATTTCGTAAATTAGTCTCCGTCTGTGTAATTACTTTTATAATTAACTCATGTCTAGTTCTCCTAATTAGCATCTGAACATCCGATGTGACAGGGACTAAACTTTAGTCTCTGGAACCAAACACACCCATGTCTATGAAATTTCCACCCCAGTGCAAGATCCATCTCTCAAGAGGATTGGATCGCCTTCTGAAGCAGTGCTGAGTCTGTCTCAAGCTGAACTGGACATGGGGCCATGACTTCATAAAAGATGCGTAGACTTTTGGTTAAACATGTATGGCTATTTTGTTGAGGTGAAAGTTTCCTCGATGATACTTCCATCGCGATCACTGTAGGCCTCCGTAGCTAATATAGTACATTATTTGAGGGGGTGTTTGGTTCCACGGACTAAATTTTGGTCCCTGTCACATCGGATGTTTGACACTAATTTGGAGTATTAAATATAGACTAATTACAAAACTAACTGCACAGATTGAGACTAATTTGCGAGACAAATCTTTTAAGTCTAATTAGTCAATGATTTGACAAAATGGTGCTATAATACATATGTGCTAATGTTAGATAAGTTAGGCTTCATAGATTTATCTCGTAAATTTGTCTCTGTCTGTGTAATTAGTTTTATAATTAACTCATATTTAGTCCTCTAATTAGCATCTGAACGTCCGATGCTATAGGAACTAAACTTTAGTCTCTGGAACCAAACACACCCATGTCTCTAAATAACTTTCCACCCAGTGCAAGATCCATCCCGCCAAAGGATTGGATCGCCTTCTGAAGCAGTGCTAAGTCTATCTCAAGCTGAACTGGACATTAGGCCATGACTTCATAGTAGAGCCGTAGACTTTTGGTTAAACATGCATGGCCATTTTTTTGAGGTGAAAGTTTCCTCGATGATATTTCCATCGCTATCTCTGTAGTTCTCCGTAGCGAATACAGTCCTTTATTTGAGGGCGTGTTTTGTTCCACGGACTAAATTTTAGTCTATGTGACATCGGACGTTTGATACTAAATTAGAGTATTAAATATAGACTAATTACAAAACTAACGACACATATTGAGACAAATTTGTGAGACGAATCTATTAAGTCTAATTAGTCCATGATTTGACAACGTGGTGCTACATTAAATATATGCTAATGATGGATTAATTAGGCTTAATAGATTCATATTGTAAATTAGTCTCTGTCTATGTAATTAGTTTTATAATTAACTCATGTTTAATCCTTCTAATTAGCATCTGAACGTCCAATGTGACAGGGAGTAAACTTTAGACTTTAGAACAAAAGACACCCATGTCTCTAAGAAATTTCCACCCCGGTGAAAGATCCATCTCTCGAGAGGATTGGATCACCTTATGAAGCAGTGCTGAGTCTGTCTCAAGCTGAACTGGACATGAGGCCATGACTTCACAATAGAGGCGTAGACTTTTGGTTAAACATGTATGGCCATTTTGTTGACGTGAAAGTTTCCTCGATGATACTTCCATCGCGATCACTGTAGGTCTCCATAGCTAATACAATACGTTATTTGAGGGGGTTTTTGGTTCCACGGACTAAATTTTAGTCCCTGCCACATCGGATGTTTGACACTAATTTGGAGTATTAAATATAGACTAATTACAAAACTAACTGCACAGATTAAAACTAATTTACGAGATGAATCTATTAAGTCTAATTAGTTCATGATTTTACAATATGGTGCTTCAGTAGATATGTGCTAATATTGGATTAATTAGGCTTAATAGATTTATCTCACAAATTAGTCTATGTCTGTGTAATTAATTTTATAATTAACTCATGTTTAGTCCTCCTAATTAGCAGCTGAACGTCCGATGTGGCAAAACTAAACTTTAGTCTCTGGAACCAAACACACCCATGTCTCTAAGTAACTTTCCACCCAGTGCAAGATCAATTTCTCGAAAGGATTGGATCGCCTTCTGAAGCAGTGCTGAGTGTGTCTCAAGCTGAACTAGACAAGAGGCCATGACTTCACAGTAGAGGCGTAGACTTTTGGTTAAACATGTATGGCCATTTTGTTAAGGTGAAAGTTTCCTCGATGATATTTCCGTCGCTATCTCTGTAGGTCTCCGTAGCTAATACAATACTTTATTTGAGGGCGTGTTTTGTTCCACGGACTAAATTTTAGATCATGTCACATCGGACGTTTGGACACTAAATTATAGTATTAAATATAGACTAATTACAAAACTAACGGCCCAGATTGAGACAAATTTGCGAGACGAATCTATTAAGCCTAATTAGTCTATGATTTGACAACGTGGTGCTACATTAAATATGTGCTAATAATGGAGTAATTAGGCTTAATAGATTCATTTCATAAATTAGTCTCCGTATGTGTAATTAGTTTTATAATTAACTCATGTTTAGTCCTCCTAATTAGCATCTGAACATCCGATGTGACAGGGACTAAACTTTAGTCTCTGGAACCAAACACGCCCATGTCTCTAAGAAATTTCAACCCCGGTGTAAGATCCATCTCTCGAGAGGATCGGATCACCTTCTGAAGCAGTGCTGAGTCTGTCTCTAGCAAAACTGGACATGAGGCCATGACATCACAAAAGATGCATAGACTTTTGGTTAAACATGTATGACCATTTTATTGAGGTGAAAGTTTCCTCGATGATACTTTCATCGTGATCACTGTAGGCCTTCGTAGCTAATATAGCACTTTATTTGAGGGGGTGTTTGGTTCCACGAACTAAATTTTAGTCCCTGTCACATCGGATGTTTGACACTAATTTGGAGTATTAAATATAGACTAATTATAAAACTAACTGCACAGATTGAGACTAATTTGCGAGACGAATCTTTTAAGTTTAATTAGTCCATGATTTGACAAAATGGTGCTATAATACATATGTGCTAATGTTGGATTAATTAAGCTTAATAGATTCATCTCGTAAATTAGTCTCCGTCTGTGTAATTAGTTTTATAATTAACTAATGTTTAGTCCTCCTAATTAGCATCTGAACGTCCGATGTGATAGGAACTAAACTTTAATCTCTGGAACCAAACACACCCATGTCTCTAAGTAACTTTCCACCCAGTGCAAGATCCATCTCTCCAAAGGATTGGATCGCCTTCTGAAGCAATGCTGAGTCTGTCTCAAGCTGAACTGGACATGAAGCCATGACTTCACATTAGAGACATAGACTTTTGGTTAAACATGTATGGCCATTTTGTTGAGGTGAAAGTTTCCTCGATGATATTTCCATCGCTATCTCTGTAGGTCTCCGTAGCTAATACAGTACTTTATTTGAGGGTGTGTTTTGTTGCACGGACTAAATTTTAGACCCTGTCACATCGGACGTTTGGACACTAAATTAGAGTATTAAATATAGACTAATTACAAAACTAACGGCACAGATTGATTTGACAACGTGGTGCTACATTAAATACGTGCTAATGATGGATTAATTAGGCTTAATAGATTCATATCGTAAATTAGTCTCTGTCTGTGAAATTAGTTTGATAATTAACTCATGTATAGTCCTCCTAATTAGCATCTGAACGTCCGATGTGACAGGGACTAAACTTTAGTCTCTGGAACCAAACACACCCATGTCTCTAAGAAATTTCCGCCCGGTGCAAGATCCATCTCTGCAGAGGATTGGATCGCCTTCTGAAGCAGTGCTGAGTCTGTCTCAAGCTGAAATGAACATGAGGCCATTACTTCACAGCAAAGGCATAGACTTTTGGTTAAACATGTATTGCCATTTTGTTAAGGCCAAAGTTTCCTTGATGATACTTCCATCGCTATCACTTTAGGTCTCCGTAGGTAATACAGTACTTTATTTGAGGGGGTGTTTGGTTCCACGGACTAAATTTTAGTCCCTATCACATCGGATGTTTGGACACTAATTTGGAGTATTAAATATAGACTAATTATAAAACTAACTACATAGATTAAGACTAATTTACGAGACGAATCTATTAAGCCTAGTTAGTCTATGATTCTCATGAGGTCTTATCAGTACTTTTGTTCAGGGATGGAAATTGCAATTGGGAGACATGTTACTGAGTACAAACAACCATGACCCTCTCGAAGGGTCCATGTCCAGAACTATAGCATTTATTTGGTGGGGGCCAAGGCCAAAGAATCATCTTGTTTTGCATAGAAATGATTGGTTGGTTGGCAAAGTAAACGCTTAGCACTTGTTTAGTTCTAGGAAGTTGGATTTTGGGCTACTGTAGCACTTCGTTTTTATTTAGTAATTAGTGTTTAAAGATGGACTAATTAGGCTCAAAACGTTCGTCTCGTAATTTCCCACTAAACTGTGCAATTAGTTTTTTTTCGTCTACATTTGATGCTCCATGCACGGGCCGCAAACATTCGATGTGATAGGCACTGTAGCACTTTTTAGGATTTTGGGGTGGAACTAAACACGCGCTTAGTCTATAGACATGGCACTGTCAAAGGATTCAACATCATATCACGCGTTGCAAGTTTGAACTTGGAAGATGCTTCACCTGGACTGAAGCAGCCATGGGCCCATGCATGACCCCGTCATAGGGTTCAACATCACGCCGTGTGTACTATATAGAGAGAGACTAGTGTGTCATATGTGCTCATGAATCGAAGCAAATATTGTGAGACGCCATAGGAAAGTATGTACTACTACAAGAGCGCCACTGATACAGTTCCTATGCTTCTAATTCTACTCTTCAGCCTCACAGTTTTGCTGCAATTTCAAGGCAAGGCGGTGGTGGCTTTGCCAGGCTCCAGCTGCCAGAGATGGTGCGGCGATGTTGAAATTATATACCCATTTGGGATTGGTGCTGGCTGTGCAATGAAAGGATTTGAGCTCGATTGCAACAAGACTTCTGCGGAGGCAGACACCAACGTGACCTTTTTGTTCAACATGCCACTGCTGAATATATCGCTGCTCCAAGGTGAGATACGGGTGACGCACCGCATCTCATCCATGTGCTACAACCAGTCGACAAGGAACATCTCCTATAACGAGGGGCTAATGAACCTCAACGACTCACCATTCACATTCTCGGAGCAGCGCAACAAGTTCACAGTTATCGGCTTCAACACATTCGCATACATGATCGGCACAACTGTGAGTTATCTCTAGCAATTATCATCTTAAGATATGGGCTATTCTGGTAGTACATAGTTTCCTATGGCGTCTCACAATAGTTAGCTACGAGGCTCTCATATATTCCATTAGCAGGTAATAGTTAGCTAACTAACAGTGATGAATCTAGAATTTTGACAATAATTATGCCACACACTAGGGTGGATCCGTATCCGGAGCTAGATTGGGGGGTGCTTCTGCCCAAAATAAAGTGTACTATGGGGGTTTTCTAATAAAAGTGTCGAGGAGTGGTGCTCCATGTTTTTGTTTCAAATTTTAGTCAATAAAATTTTCCTCCACAGTTCAGTTACAAATAGGTCCAATACCATTATAATACTCCGAAATATGCATAAAAATTGTTTGGTCTACGTTTTCTAAAGGACAACTAGCCTTAATTATATCATCTCAATCAACTTCATAGAAAAGGAGTCTACAACCACACTCTTCAACAAGCATGTCATGCACGGCTAAGCAAGTACTATAGTTAATTTATAGGGAATAAAAAGTACTAGTTAAGAAACTAAAAAAACAACTAAAGCACATTATCATAGTTAATTTGTAGATGGATAAAAGATAGAAATTAAGTGCAACTCGCTAGTACATCATGCACTATGCACTACAAGCAAAATAAGAAAATAAAAATTAAAGTGCAACACAATAGTTAATTTGTAGAGAGATAAAAGTAGAAAAATGGAAATTAAGTTTGGCTTAGTAATACATCATGCACCAATAAAAAATAGAAAAATAGACCACTACTTAGAAAAATAAAAACTAAAGTACATAAGAATCAAGCTAGCAACACCTCCTATAGTTAAATAAATGACTAAAAAATAATATTTAAAGTGTAGCACATAAGAATAAGAATCAAGCTAGCAACCTCTTTGTTAGGAGGCAAGATGCAAACCACTAGGCTAACAATATCTTTCTTATTATTAAAATATCAAATATTATGTACATGATATATTAGAGTTGAGAGTTGCCCCACAGGGTATGCCAAATGTCATGGCCCATTCGGCATACCCTGTGGGTCTACCGCTACTAGCTAGCTAATATTAGCTAACTAACTATTAATTGCTATTAGCTGATTTGATTTAACTAGTGAGATGCTTGTTAGTTGAGTATTAGCTAACAATTAGTTGGACCTGTTTAGATCCAAAGAGCTAATGATTAATTAGTAGCTAACTATTAGCTCCATGTATCAAACAGGGCAAAAGAGAACTTGTGGATTGTGATTTACTACTGGCTGTATATAGTTTTACTTAGTACCATGGACCGGAGATTTTTAGGGCTGTCAATAAAGTGGAACGTTCTTGTTATGCAGAATGTGCTTGGGTGTTTGGCGCAATCCGGGACCTACAACAACCTCACGGCACAAGATGGGTTTTGCGATGGTGTTGGCTGCTGCCAGGTTGCGCTCACGGGCAACATGTCTTACTATTACGCAGATTTCCTTCGTCAATACAACACTACCAACATGAGCACCACAGATGGCGCAGAGTACTGTGGCTATGCTGTGATGATGGAGGCTCGAGCATTCCATTTTCGCACAACATACCTTAACACGACAGAGTTCTGGAAAGAAAACGATGGCCGTGTCCCAGTGATCTTGAACTGGGCAGTGGGCAACGAGACCTGTGATATTGCCAAGACAAATGCAACTTCGTATGCTTGTGTTAGCAATAACAGCACATGCATTGATTCAGTCAATGGTCTAGGCTACCTCTGCAATTGCACTGAAGGCTACACTGGCAATCCTTACCTTCCTGATGGATGCCAAGGTTCATATTGGAGTGTATATCTTTGATTGATGCATTCAAGCATTTCATGTGTCACTTTTTGATCCTTGCACAGCAGATCTCTAAATATGACATTGTGTGTTTGCAGATATTGATGAGTGTGCTGTCAACGTTCCACCTCCATGCCCGGGGCATTGCAAGAACACAAACGGGAGCTTCATTTGCCCAGATCAAAAGCCTCCAAGTTCCTTACGCTATGGCACTGTGGTCCTAATTGTCGGTAAATCACTCTTTCTCCCTCCTTTTTCCCCATGGATTTAATCCACCCATGATTGAATTGGGAATTTGGAATAGCAACAATCTGAAAACTGCATGCACAGGTCCAAGCATCGGGGTTGTAATTGTGGTCATAGCCATCACCTGCACGTACCTGATCCTTGAAAGGAAGAAGCTGTCCAACATCAAGCAGAAGTATTTCCAACAACATGGTGGGATGATGTTGCTACAAGAGATAAGCCTAAAGCAAGGAACTGGCTTCTCCATCTTCACAGAAGCAGAGCTCATTGAGGCGACCGACAAGTTTGATGACAAGAACATCCTCGGCCGTGGTGGCCATGGCACCGTCTACAAGGGTTTGCTCAAGGATGGTAGTCTCATCGCAGTCAAACGGTGCGTATCAATGACCAGTGAGCAGCAGAAGAAGGAGTTCGGCAAAGAAATGCTCATCCTTTCCCAGATCAACCACAAGAACATTGTCAAGCTGCTGGGCTGCTGCCTTGAAGTAGAGGTTCCCATGCTAGTTTACGAGTTTATCCCCAATGGCACACTGTTTCAGTTCATCCATGGTGACAATGGCTCTCGCAACATCCCCTTCTCAACTCGGATACGCATTGCCCTCGAGTCTGCCCTGGCCTTATCCTACCTTCATTCCTGGGCATCGCCGCCAATTCTGCACGGTGATGTCAAATCTTCCAACATACTTCTGGACGAGAACTACGAGGCAAAGGTATCAGACTTTGGGGCCTCGATACTAGCACCAGCTGACAAGAGCCAGTTCATGACTCTGGTGCAGGGGACCTGCGGGTACCTAGATCCTGAGTACATGCAGACCTGCCAGCTAACAGACAAGAGCGACGTGTACAGCTTCGGTGTTGTTCTTTTGGAGCTGCTCACTGGCAGCACGGCGTTCAATCTGGAAGGTCCTGAGAATGAGAGGAGTCTTTCGCTGCGCTTCTTGAACGCCATGAAGGAAGACAGGCTCGTGGACATCATTGACAGCCGCATCAAGGCTGATGGTAGCGACAATGGACTGCTCGAGGAGGTCGCGGAGCTTGCGAGGCAATGCCTGGATATGATCGGCGAGAGGCGGCCAGCAATGAGAGATGTCGCCGAGAAGCTGGATCGGCTAGCCAAGGTCATGCAGCACCCGTGGGTGCCAGCGCAGCATAACCCGGAAGAGATGGAGAGCCTGCTTGGGGAGTCGTCGGTGGCCAGCTTAGAGATGATCAGCACCGGAAATTTCAGCATGGAGAAGAGGATTGTGCAAGGGTTGCTGGACTCTGGGCGTTAGATTAGGCCCTACAACACCACGTATTTTCGGTGATAATCCTATTCTCATGTGTTTCATAGTAATAATGGAATGCCAAAATTCATACTATTTTTAAGATCCGGTTATCCGGCTTTGTATTAATAAGCGAGAGTACATAGTTGCGAGGCTATATGCGCGAGAAGCGCTTTCTTACTTGGCAGACCGCCCCGCGAGGATGAAAGGACTAAGGCTAATTACTCACTAAATGGCGGGCAACAATTACAGGTCGGAGGACTCTTCCCCCGGCCGAGATCCAATCAGAGCATTCATCCTTTATCCTTGTGAAAATCGCCTGCTCTTATCTTCTCTAGCCGTTGAAAACTACTGCGTTTCTTTGCTTCCAAATCTGCCACAAGCTTAGAATTGCTAGTGAGTGTGCTCTGTGCTGCTTTTGTGCCACTTTCGGTCATCGCAAGAAACCATTCCTCTCTCTCATTCTATCGGATCCAGGCAGCTGGGTGTAGGTTGGCACAGTTGCTCCATGTTGCCACTAGTTCCCAGACCTTCCTCGTGTAAGGGCACTCGATGAATAGATAAAGAGAGGTCTCCAGACTTCTTTCACATAAGGCGCAAAAATAATTGTTCTTCGACCCCCCCCCCAGTTGCAATCTCGCTGCGGCTGCGGTCCAAATAATCCTGTCTTGCAGAAGCAGGCAAAGAAAAAACTTGCAGCGTGGAGGTGCCCACCGCGCCCATACAAGGTTGGGGAAATTGGAGACAATCTGGCCGCTAAATTTAATGATGTAGGCCGAGCTTGCAGAGTATTCACCTAAACTTTCAAGGGTCCAGATAATCTGGTTTTCCTGAGCTGAATCCAACCGCAAGGACTGTGTGTGCCTCCATAAGACAAAGAATTCACTTAGGAGGCCAGCATTGAGATTGTGTGCAATGTCGCTTATCCATTTCCCATTGAGGACAGCGTCTCTGACAGTTCTATTTTTTCTTGTACTATGCTGGAAGAGCAGCGGGAAGAGGGATGCAGGTATTTGTCCGTCGATCCAGCTTGAATGCCAAAAAGAGGCCTTTCGTCTGTCATGGAGCATCAGCCTTGTGGCTGCTCCAAACAGAGCCATATCTGTCTTGAATGCCAAAAAGAGGCCTTTCGTCTGTCATGGAGCACCACCCTTGTGGCTGCTGCAAACAGAGCCATATCTGTCTTATCTATCGGCCACTTCTTGCCTGCCCATGGCCGTTGTGTGCCTTTCCAAGATAGCCATAGCCACCGAAGTCTAAGTGTCCTGCTCAATCTTTCCAAATCAAGAATACCAAGGCCTCCAAACTGCACTGGTCTTGTGACCAGCGGCCATCCGACTTTGCATTTTCCTCCCGAGATCTCACTGTCCCCAGCCCAAAGGAACCGTCGTTAGAGAGAACGTGTCTCATTACAGTAGACACACTGAACACCTCCGGTGCAAAGCCACGCATATTAGACACACTAGGTGTGTGGGGGGTTCATTTCCTAGACAAGCCTGACTAGCAAAACTAAGACATACTAGCTCTAGTCAACTTTAGTTAATGCAAGCAGCGCATATTCGGTTGCCTATACTGACTAAGCCTCGCTAGGAATCGGTGTGTTTGGTTGCCTGGTTTAGTTTAACACCTGGTAAGTTTACCCCCTTTGAGGACTTTAGTCGAACAGGTGGTGGCCATTGTCGGCGAGCACCTCGGCGACCATGGCAGTAGGCCACCACGCCACGCCCTTGGCTCACGAGTCGGCAGCCGCACCGACTACGACACCTCCGCCCGCAACACCTATGTAGCACAGGGAAGAAGAATACAGGGGAACCCGCGACACCTCCGCGACCATGGAAGGCACCTGGCGGCCGGCACGAGTGGTGGAGAGCTGCGAGCTGGAGAAGAAGACCGAGCTCAGCAGCTGGAGCAAGAGATGGAAGAGGAGGTGAGCAGATCTGGCACGGTGGTTGGCAGATCTGGCGCGGTGGTGGAAGAGGAGGTGAGATTGGCGGTGGAAGAGGCGCTCGCGAGGAAGAGGAGGTGAGCGGACGAGGCTGCGAGAGCTAGCCAAGTCTGGCTCCGCTAGAACGAGCGATGCAGGCGTTTCCCGGGAGCCACCAAAACCGTATAAATTGGACTTGTGCAAGCCTGGCTAGCAGACCCTACAGGGAACCAAACAGACCCAAGTTGCATTATGCAAGCCTGGCTAAGGGCTAAGCCAGGGAACCAAACACATCCTATACAGCAGGGTCGAAAATCTGAACTTAAACCTAGAAGTTATGTGCTATGTAAAATTAGGATCCATGGGCGTCTATGTGTAAATGGATCAGATACAAATGGATACCTACGGATACGAATACAGATTGTTTTTTTTTTTTGAGATTTAGAGTCTAAGTACGAATAATGGTAGCTGCCAAATAAGATACGAATGTATAGCGACTTCATATATATATCTGACTTTGGAGTTATATGCTTATGTAGATTAAAAAGGGTTCGAACACGTGCGGTGGACTAATGGCCAATTATTTATGTGAAAGTTCTCAACGTATCTTCACTGTAGCAGAATTTGTCAAAGAAACTTTGTGATGACGTGTAGCTATGCCTATGCGCACATCGTAGTTTTTTGTTATAGAACTTTTGAAGTTTTGAGGGGAAGATGTCGAGGGTATGTCTTTACGCGGTTGTGCGTTGAATTTTGCTCGTTGAGGGGCTAGTTGAGTGGTAAGTGAAATATGGAATACTTTTGCTGCTGGCCACCAGTTTCAATTGTACAATGACGGTAGAAGACGTTTTTGAAGAGTCAACTAAACCGTACCTGCACAGTGATTCATTGACTTGACCAAAGATAGCAGATTGCAAAGTCTAGCATCTACTACCTCTGTCCCCGAAAGAGTGTTACTCTCACTTTTTCACGGAGTCAATGAGTCATTTAACCAAATATTACAAAAATACTAATATTTATGAGTTTTAATAAGTGTCGTTAGATGTTAGATGAATTATAGAATATATTTTCATAATTAATCTATCTAGAGATATAAATAGTGATAAAATTTGTATAAATCTAGTCAAACTTAAAAAAAAGTTGACTTAGTCCAAATCTAAAATAACATTCTTTTATTAATGATAACAATATATGTAATTTGTATCAATACTTAGTGTGTTACTTTTAAGTTTCTTTTATAATAGTGCAGGTGGGCGATTGAGATGCAAATTGGGGATTACTTTAGACTATTTTTCATAATGCCATATAGCAGGGCTTACTTTGAGTTACTTTTAACAATGTGAAGGTGTGTAATTGAGATGTGAATTAGGGTTTAGAGATTACTTTAGACTATTTTTCATAATGGCATATGTTAGGGTTTACTTTAAGTTACTTTTAACAATGGTGAAGGTGGCATATGCTTGGGTTGCTTTAGATTATTTTAATTAATAATAGACATGGATAATTTAGATGTTAATTTAGAAGGTTACTCTATATTATTTTTCTCGAATATCATATGTGGGTAATTTAGATTAGGACTAGAGGTTACTTATTTTTCAAAGTGATAGTAGTGGGGAGTTTAGATATAGATTTAGGCGGTTATGGTAGAATAATTTTATAATGGTGAAGTTGAGTAATTTTGTAGAAAACAAGATAGATCTAATGGGTAATATTGCCATGACAAATTTTCAGATTAGAAATCGACGTATGGAGTATAAAGCATGATTTTAGAAAGTATCTGAAACTGGTTTCATATTTTTTTTGAGCAAATTTTTTTCTATGAACTTGCTAAAATTAACCAGCTCTTGGGATTTTAAATTCCATATTTTTCGAAAAAATTGGGTAGATTTTTAAATATTTATTTCTATAACTTTTTGGTAGAGTATATCTGTTAACCTAGTCCAATTTATCTTCCTCGTTACCGTATACCGTTGTATAGAACGTCTGATGTGACACTACATAGGACTAAACAGCCTTGCAAACTGCCAGCAGTTGCAGTAATTCCAGCTCCAATAGCATATTTTTAAGTTGTTGTAGTTCCTACGCCTGAGGAATTTCTATCTAGGACAAAAAAAAATAGCAGTTCGGCAAGGCGTCCGTGGTGAAAGACAGCAGTTTGGCCGCGTGGTCCGTGGACAACAAGTACCCGGGAAAGTCGGCTTTCCTACGTTGGTGCCCATGTGTCAAGGGCAAAAACAACAGCTCGGCAAGGCGTCCGTGCTAAAAAATAGCGGTTCGGCTACGTGGTCCCTGGTCAGCCGAAGTCACTGGGAAAGGCGGCTTCCCAACGCCAGTGCCCATGTGTCTAGGGCAAAAAGAGCAGTTCGGCATGGTGTCCAAGCTCAGAAACAGCAGTTCGGCCACGTGTTCCGTGGACAACCCGAGTCCCCAGGAAAGTTGGCTTTCCTACGCCTAATGGATGTGTCCGGGGCAAAAAAAAAAACAGTTCTGCAAGGCGACCCACAGTGAAAGACAGCAGTTCGACCACGTGGTCCGTGGACAACCCAGGTCCCTAGGAAAGTCGGCTTTCCTACACTGGTGCCCATGTGTCCGGGGCAAAAACAGCAATTCGGCAAGGCGTTCGTGCTCAAAAACAGCAGTTGGGCCACGTGGTCCGTGGACAGCCCAAGCCCCCAGGAAAGCCGACTTTCCTATGTGCGACGGATATGTGTCCGGGAAAAAAATAGCGGTTCGGCAAGGCGTCCGCGGTGAAAGACAGCGGTTCGGCCACGTGGTCCGTGGGAAGCCCAAGTCCCTGAGAAAGCCGGCTGTCCTACGTTGGTGCCCAAGTGTCCGAGGCAAAAACAACATTTTGGCATGGTGTCCGTGCTAAAAGCAGCATTTCGGCCACATGGTCCGTGGACAGCCCAAGTCCCCAGGAAAGGTGGCTTTCCTACGCGTGAGGGATATGTGTTTGGGGCAAAAATGCATCAGTTCGCCAAAGCGTCCACGGTGAAATACAACAGTTCAGCCACCTTGTCCATGGACAGCCCAAGTCACCAAGAAAGCTGACTTTCCTACACCGGTGCCCATGTCTCCGGGGGCA